ATATTAAATATTAATTAAATAGTTTAATTAATCATTTAATATTACTTTAATTTGAAATTTATAATTCAAATTGATTGTTCAATCAAAATGAAGAAAGTCAAAATGTTGACTTTGATTTAATGGAAAAATCCATGTTAGTGGAATTTTGAAGTGTCAAAATTTGGCTTAACCAAACTTGCATGCTTGCCAAATAAACCCCACAAATTTGAGTGAAATTTTGAGTGTCAAAATTTGGTGATCTCAAATTTGCATGAACATGCCAACATGACTCTATAAATATAGTGATCAAGGTATATGGAACTTCTCCCTTGGAAAAATCTTGAGAAAAACTGTGTATTCACGGTCGTTCTTCCAACGTTTAATTTTCCAAAAAACATGACTCAACGTATATATGTAGTGCATTCTCCTCAATACGCTTCTCTCCCTCGCCAGCAGATGTGTATCCACGGTCGATTCTTCCAACGTTCAATTTTTCTAGATTTCGATGAGCGACACATTTCAATCTATTTTTTTGGATTGCTTTTTATCTTCCAATCGTTAACTAGAAAGGTCTTCATATTTGTGAAAAACCTTGAGAAAAACCTCCCACAAACACTCTCTTCATATATACAAAATTCCTCCCACGTTTAGTCACTCACCGAATTCCACAATCCCGTTCTAAGGTCGGAGGATAGTGGAGAAGACACTATTGGTGGTTCGAAATCGGCTCGTGAGGAAAAAGGAATTTGAACTACAAAAGATTAGTATTCAAACTCATTAAGTTTTAATAGTTATGAACATGCTAGTTATTTACTATAATTGATGTTCTAAAAGTGCCTAAGATTCAAATTGCTTCCGCATGTGTTATATTAACACCATCAATTGGTATCAGAGCAAGTTTTAGGCACTTTATTTACATTAATTTGATCATGGTGGGTACCATTTCATGAATGAAATTTTGTGGTTGCTAAAGTTAATGGTTTTGATTTTGGCATTTTTTTATGCTTCCATTTGATACAATTATTGTAATAAGCCTAATGTGTATGGGCTTTAATGAATGAAGAAATGTCTGTAATTTTTATGGAGTCATTAAAGTTCATTTTAGGTTGTAATTGATCGAAAATGGAAGAGATAGCAAGCTGAACCGAAGTAGAAGATGGAAGAGGCAGTTCGGGTGGTTTTTCTACCTTTGGGGTCCGGTTCTACGTTTTTAAGGGTTAGTTCGCCTAGTTCGTGATCCTTGGGAGCGGTTCAAGTTATTTTTAATTATTAATGTAATAATTTATTTAATTGCTGGTTTTAAAATGCCAAAAACAATCCACTTTAGCGTGTTTAATTAATTATGCATTATGAATGTATGTTTTAATTAAATAGAAAATGTATATGCATAAAGTATGTCATATAGATTTAAAATCCCACCATAAGCTAAGCATGTTTCATGCATTCCAAGTATGTTTATGACATGATGAGCAGGGATATTTCTTCATTTTCACTATTATTGATGATGGAAAATTTAGGTTTTGTGATATAAGAATTGTGGGAATGTAGCTCAGATGGTAGAGTGCTCGCTTAGCATACGAAAGGTACGGGAATTGATCCCTCATCTCCAAAAGAAACTATTATTTTTTGTACGGGAATTGATCCCTCCATCTCCAAAAGAAACTATTTGTTATTAATATTTTATTTTTATTCAATATTTCCTTATTTATGACATAATGAGCGGAGATATTATTTCATTTTCACTATGATTGATGAATTTAAAGTTTTGTGATGTAAGAATCGTGGGGATGTATATTTTATTTTTATTCAATATTTCCTTATTTATGACATAATGAGGGGAGATATTATTTCTCCAAAAGAAACTATTTGTTATTAATATTTTATTTTTATTTAATATTTCCTTATTTATGACATAATGAGCGGATAAATTATTTCTCCAAAAGAAACTATTTGTTATTAATATTTTATTTTTATTCAATATTTCCTTATTTATGACATAATGAACGGAGATATTATTTCATTTTCACTATGATTGATGAATTTAAAGTTTTGTGATGTAAGAATCGTGGGGAATGTATATTTTATTTTTATTCAATATTTCCTTATTTATGACATAATGAGCCGAGATATTATTTCATTTTCACTATGATTGATGAATTTAAAGTTTTGTGATGTAAGAATCATGGGGATGTAGCTAAATGGTAGAGCGATCACTTTGCATGCGAGAGATACGGCCTGCATCTCCAAAGGAACACTATCAATAATTAAGTATATTATTTCCTTTTAGCATATCTAAAAGAAACTAATTTGTTATTAATATTTTATTAATTTGTTATTAATATTTTATTTCTATTCAATCTTTTCTTATATATGACATAATGAGCCGAGATATTTTTTTTATTTTCACTATTATTGGTTATTATTGGAGATGGTAGGTTTAGGAATGGGGGTGTAGCTCAGATGGTTTTATTTCTATTCAATCTTTTCTTATTTATGACATATTGAATAGAGATGTTTTTTTATTTTCACTATTATTGGTGATGGTAGGTTTAGGATTTTGTGACATAAGAATTTGGGGATGTAGCTCAAATGGTAGAGCGCTCGCTTCGCATGTGAAAAGTACAAGGATCGCTAATTTTTTATTTCTAATTTTTTTCTTTATTTTTGACATAATGAGCAGAAATATTATTTCATTTTCACTATTATTTGGAGATCCTATTACCATATGTTCTATTTTTTATTTCTAATTTTTTTCCTTGTTTTTGACATAATGAGCAGAAATATTATTTAATTTTCACTATTATTGATGACGGGTAGTTTTAGGTTTTGTTATGTAAGAATTGTGGGGATGTAGCTAAGATTGTAGAGTGCATCTCTTAACGAAACTATTCGTTATTTATATTTTAATTCTATTCAATTTTTCCTTATTTTTGACATAATGAGAAGAAATATTTTTTCATTTTCACTATTATTGATGACCAGCAGTTTTGGGTTTTGCTATGTAAGAATTATGGAGATGTAGCTAAGATGGTAGAGTGCTCTCGTTGCATGCGATTGGTACGGGGATCGATACCCCGAATACCCCGCTCTTTATTCCTAAATCCTTTAAATGTGGTTTGCTACACACAAAAAAGATACGGATATTAAATTTTTAATTTACTTTTGAAAAGTATGATGTAGGATAAATGGATTATTGCCTATTATTTTTTAGAATATATTAAGTCTTGGGACTAATGTTTGACATTTTTAGAGATAGACATATAATAGAGCAATTGGATTATTGCCTATTATTTCTAAGAATATATTAAGTCTTCAGACTAATGTTTGTCATTTGTAAAGATGGGAATAATGTTTGTCATTTTTAGAGATGACACATAATAGAGCAATTCATAGTATCGTTCTCTTTTAAAGCAATTCATAGTACCACTCATTGTTCTCCTTCTGAAGATGTTTATGGATTTATTCTGCCTATTTTCTAAAAATGTTAAGTCTTAGGACGAATGTTTGCCATTTGAAGAGATGTCATATAATAGAGCAATTCATAGTACCGTTCTCCGTTAGAGAAATTCATTAGAGCAATTCATAGTACCACTCATTGTTCTCTTTTTTTAAGATTTTTATGGATTTAATCAACTTACGCCTCTTATTATCTTCCTATTCATTCTAATATTTTTGTGAGTAAAGCAACTACAAGTAAGACAAATCTGATCAAAACATTGCATAAACTGGTGAAAGGAGAAAATTGAGAAACAAAAAGTTACTTTAAAAAAGTTACTTTAAGAATTAAATATTTTTGTGAGTAAAGCAATTACAAGTAATGTCAGATCAAAACATTGCATACAGAGGTGAAGGAGAAAATTTAGAAACAAAATTTCAAAATTTCTTTAAGAATTAACAAAGGACGGAAGGAAATCATTTTTCAACCCGATATCTAGGTTTCGATACATTCCCATCTCAAAGGAAAACAAAGTTACATCCAAGAGGGGATGACCCTTATCAAGTCCTTGAAATAATTAATAACAATGCATATAAAATGATCTTCTAAAGAATTTTTAGCACATTCTACTTTCAATGTTGCTGACTTAAGTTCTTTTGATGTAGGTGATGATTTTTCTAATTCGAGGACGAAACTATTGAAGAGTGGTAAGATGATAAGGATCACGGTGTTCCAAATTTTCCAACTGGAACAGCCAAAAAGATTCAACTGGACCATTCTTCATCTATAAAATTGGATAGGCTTGGTTCAACTCTTATTTCATGTGTTACAAGCTTATTCGATTGAGGAAGATTCATGTGTTACAAGCTTATTTGATTGAGGAAGAATCATTTGGAGCTTCAGTGAGTATTTACACTGTTGAATTAGAGGATGAAATTGCAAGAATCATTAGCTCGTTGTTAGAAAACTTTATTTATTTTTAATTTATAATGTATGTAAACATTTGAACTCGTATTTTGGGGAGATTAAAGGGATTGAGATTAAATCCAGGCTGGAGACTATAAATATCCACACATGAGGAATGAAATTGATCTTAGAAGTTCCCCTACTTTTTAAATATCCACAAATTATTATGTAAAAATAAGAGAGGAATGAAATTGATCTCAGAAGTACCCCTTAAAAATCTGAGCATCATCTTTCACATTTATAAGTTACAAGCATGGGTAGAATTGCATATGAGCCCTTCATCTATCAAATTGGATTGTGTGGTTGAGTGAAATTCTCAACCTTCTACTTATTTTCAGGTTTCTCTTCCTATTCATGTAATTTATCCTAATACAAAAAAATTTGTTTTTTTTTTTTTTTTTTTTTTTTTTTACATGAAATAGAAGTAAACCGAGTATAAAAAGAAGTTAGGGTTCATCTCTTTTGGGGGTGAAGCGAGATACCATGACCATAAAGGAGTGGAAGCTCAAGGATCATCACGCCTTAGGGTTGATCTAGTTGACGCTGTCCAGAAACATGACGTTCAACATCATCAAAGAGAAGACGACATCGAGTCTATTGAAGGTGTTGTAAAATATGTATGAAAATCCGTCGGATATGAACAAGATGTATTTGATGCAGAGGTTGTTCAATCTACAAATGTCTGAAGATAGATTTGTTGTAGATCATATAAATTAGTTCAACATGATTGTAAGTCATCTTTACCCGAGTCGTAGTATACTGTTGTTGCTGCAATCAACAGTTCATGAGTATCTGATAAACTGAAGTTTGATGAAATTCGAGATGTCAATGAAAGTATTCCCAAATGGGAAATTGGAGACTCATCAGGCAATGCTCTTAGTGTTGATTGAAGGGAAATAAGTAAATCAAAGAGTCCAAACAAATATGGGCGATCAAAATCAAGGAACCGAGAAAAATCTCCAAACAAACCAAACGTAAGGTGTTGCAATTATGGAGAAAAATGACACTTTTGAACAAATTGTACAAAATTGAAGAAAAACAAAATCATAAATTTGAAGATGACAATAATTCTATATATTCAGCAGAAGATACAAAAGGACACTCTAATTCTTAGCGTGAACAACCTAATTGAATTATGGATTTTAGATTCAGTTGCATCAATTTTAAGTAAGGAATTGTTTCAAAATTTCAAATAAGGAAATTTTGGGAAGGTGTATCTTGCCAACAACAAAATCTTGGAGATTGAAGGGAAGAAAGATGTTTGTATACAAACTCTAGCAGGAAATGAGTGGACATTATAGGATGTCAGATATATTTCTAATCTCAAGAAGAATCTGATCTCTATTGGTCAGTTGGATAGAACAAGTTATGCAGCCGAGTTTTGAAAGAGTTTGGGGAAGATTGTGAAGGGTGTCATGGTGGTAGCATGACACAAAATCTGGAACCCCATACACTACTCTTAGCAACAACAACCATATTTATACACCCTACAGTAGTGTCAAAAGACTTGCACATACGAGCGTCAAAGAAATGAAAATGATGGCTGCGAAGGGAGTTTTAGAAGGCCTAAAATCTGTTGATATGAGTGTTTGTGAGAGATACGTTATGGAAAAATATAAACAAGTTAGCTTCACAAAGGCTACCAGAGAATAAAGAAAGTACGATTAGAAATGGTCCATATAGACGTTTGGGGACCATCTCCAGTTTCATCATTTATAGTACCAAAATTACATGGGTTAGATGTCACGTACTCTGCAGCGACAACTCTCTATTTTCCTAAGGCTATTAAGATATCTCACGACCACTCTTTTCCTTCTCACCATATCTAGACACCATAACTTTAATCCAGTATTGTCTTATATGGTCAACATTCATTCTTTAATGTCCAAGGACATTTTATAACTACCACGAAACTCAAAACGTACAATAAATTCATACAAGTTTTACAATATATCATATATTTAAAAATAGGGTTAGATTCCTTACTTCATAACGACGAGACGTGTCATCGACCTAAGTCATAGAGATATACGACTCTTTATCCTAAGAAAAAACTATATAATCTAAAATTCTGCTGCTCTGATATCAAACCACTCTTTATTGAACTCTAGTTATATAGTTCTTTTTCGCCCTTTTTTTTCTTTCTTTCTTTTTCCTCTTTATTGAACTCTAATTAGCGATCTTACTGCCCCCTACTTAGGAAAGATCGTTCAAGATGAAAATTTTACCCTAGCATTAATTTTGACTGATTTTCGTATTTTTTTAATATTTTCTTTTATATTTTTAATGAGTTTTTTAAATTTTTGTAACTTTTTTTTCTTCCATATCATATTTAAATTCGGTCTCTAAATCTCTCAAAAAATTCCAAAAAATTTGAACTTAAAATAAAATTTGAGAAATTAATCCTCATTTGAACTCGTGTTACAGCATACCATAACATAATGCATATCAAACACTCACAAAGTACGACAAGTGGAGGGGCTACAGAGCACGCGTTTTTAATACCTCATACAATTCATCCAACCAAGCCAATAGTAACACCACTTACCTGGTTGGTCTAAAGCAAAATCACTAAATTTTATGTATTGATATTCATTAGATCATACTCATCGATGTCTAGTTCCAAAGCTAAATCCAAACCTACTTCCTTCACTCTCTTTCTTTTTCTCCTTCTTTATTTAAATCGGCATTGGTTAGAGATAAAGGATGAGTTAGAGATTGAGAAATGGGAAGAGAAATAAAGAATGTGATGGAGGAAGAGGAGGAAATGGGAGGAAGTGGAGAACAGGGATAAAATGAGCAAGCACGCAACTCTTAAACCATTTTAAACTCCTATTATCTTATTTTGTTTTTTGTTTTTGGTAGTAAAATTGTTAAATATTGTTAAATGGTAGTAAAATTGTTAAATATTGTTAAATGGTAGTAAAATTGTGAATGGGACAAATAAATTATTGGCATTTCAAATTTCTTCTATTTTGTTTTTGGTATAAGTTAAGGGTACAAATGAAAAACATCCACCTATAGTTTCAATGTTTTGTCACCTATTTTTTAACTACGTTTTAAGATATCAAACTAAAATAAATATAAAATAAAAACTGTTTTCAAAAACTTAGCTTGTGGTGAAATTTTACTTAAAATTCAAATGTATTGTCTTAATATCTAACCCAAATGAATACATATCCTTTAGTGGCACGGTAGCTTCAACCAAACTAATTTGAGCTGGT